TTGAGACGTAGGATGCCTCTAAGACGTAACCGGCGGCAGTACGAGCAGCTGACGGACTTTGATAGGGGCCGTATAATAGGCCTCAGAGAAGCAGGTTGGTCGAATAGACGTATCGGCCGACACCTCGGTCGGAGCGATATGGTAGTTGCTCGGTGTTGGCAACAGTGGATCACAGAAGGTAGAGTGTACCGTCGAGGAGGGTCAGGACGTCCCAGGAACACAAATGATCGCGAGGATCGTGCAATCAGAAGAGTGGCCACTTCGGCACCAACAACGTCGCTAGCATCGATTCAACGCCACTTACCTCCTTCCAGACATCCAGTGCCATCAAGAGAAACCATAAGGAGACGACTGACCGAAGTTGGCTTGAGGAGCCGACGTCCGCTAAGACGCTTACCACTGACCCCACATCATAGGCAGTGTCGACTGGATTTTGCCGACCTCGGGCAACTTGGAGTGTGACAGACCGGAGACGTGTCATCTTCAGTGATGAATCCCGATTCAGTCTCAGGGCTGATGACCACCGCACACGTGTCTGGAGGCGCACCGGCCAGCGGTCCGATCCGGCATTTATTGTCGAGCGGCATACAGCAATTTCACAAGTGGTCCTTCAAGGCACTTTGACAGCTCGCAGATACGTGGACGATATTTTAACGCCGATTGTGCTACCCATGCAATCAAGTCGCCCAGGTGCCATTTATCAACAGGATAATGCTCGTCCACAAACTGCGCGACTCTCCCAACAATGTCTTCAAGGATATGACGTCCTACCATGGCCTGCCAGGTCACCAGATCTTTCGCCAATAGAGCATGTCTGGAACGCGCTGGGAAGACAACTGCAGCCGTCCCGAGATACAGGAGAATTAACTGCGCAGATGCAAAGACTATGGCAGGATCTTCCACAGGGGATCATAAGTGATCTAATTGAATCGATGCCACGCCGAATTTCGGCTTGTATAGCTGCCAGAGGTGGCTTTACTACTTACTGATTTTTAACCTTTTTGCAAGCTGTAACCGCTTAATAAAATGATATTTTGTTCTGAATTTTTAATCATTTGTTTATTTTCATATACACTACATGCATACCAAATTTCGTGAATGTAGCTCAATTTCTTCTGGGTGCATATATTTTTTTGCGACAGAGTGTATTTTAGTCGATATATATTTGTGAGCAAAGTTTTTCTTGCATGGAAATCAACAAGACTAAATATAGATGCAAGTTGGTTGGCATAAATTTGCAGGTTGTGATGAGAACTTAAGTAAGCAATCCCACTCCTGATTTTAAAAAAAAGTGTGATAGGGTACATTTGTCTCATTATGTAAGTTCTAAAATTAAATGTGCTTGCAGCTATAGACAATGGGAAATTATCTCAACAAATAAATTGAACAGAACTGCCACTATTTTATTTATTATTTTTTATAGTGAATGCAATCATATTAGAAAGGTACGGCTATATTTGGAATCCTTCGCTCCTACAATGGAGCCCGTGGTCCAAAACAAGTTACCCACCCCCTGCCTTAAAAAGTTGGGTTAGTTTTCTGTATAAATAGCCCTCTCCGATGAAATTCAATTATTAAAAATACTTACTGGAGGAATTGGAAGCTATTCGCTGATTCCTAATGTATGCGAGTCCTACTTTTCCTACTAAATATAAATTCATCCTTTCGACTTAAAATAGAATTGATAGTAAAAAATCCAAAATTAGGGAGGGGGTGAATTAAAATTCGTAATAAAAAAAATGTAAACTTTTTGTGCCATTTTTATCTGAAAAAAAATTTCGAAACGCTATTCATTACTAAATACTCGGCATTTGATCACGAAAATTACTTAATTGGATTTTTTATTGATGTTGCACTAGAGCTATTGGTGACGAACTTAATAATTGTCAACCTCAGTCAAGTGGCGAGGATCACTTCAGGAGCGGTATCTTATTCTTCAAATTTCCACATCTGTCTAACGTAAAGACCAACAGAATTAACATACATCAGTCCCCTATACCAGTGATCCGCAACCCCGGTCCGTAGATCAAATGGTGTTAGAAGAACATTAAACTATTGCCATTTTATTTAAAGTGGTGCATTTCTCTCGGATCTGCGTAACTTTCCACGGAAATCACTTTTATTCATTTTTGGTGTAACTATATTTTATTCTGAAGGCATATTTAAATGTAACTAAATTAAAATTGTTAAATAAAAACAATCTATAAAATATAAACAATTAATGTGTCCCACCCTCAGCGGGCCGCGGTAAAATTATCAAACGTTGACCAGTCCGCAGCGATAAAAAGGTTACTGTGGATCTGAAGTGGCACCAGGATTTGAACCTTCTACAAGACACTGCCACGATCACTCACAAAATTAATCTCAACTAAAAAGAATGAAAATGTGTCTGAATAATTTTGTTGCTAATGTGATAGATAACTCTAATGGCTTTTTTTAATTTTAAACAAACAAAAAAAATGTCAGTACTTTTCCATTTCGCCAGCGCAGGCGATAAATTCGCCAAAAATGATACAACCGACCCCAAACTGAATATTCTTCCTTGGCAACCTATTACCCCTACACATTTTCAACACAAGAGCAGCGGTCTTTTCTTAAGAATAACGTGTTTTTCAGAAATAGATGGAGAAGAAATGAGAGCTATAATATTTATAACATATTTTATGTGTATGTTGTTGCCAATAAAGCCAGTTTGGTGAGATTTGCGCCGACGAAACGGAAAAACGCCAAAAAAATCATTTATTACTCCTTTTTAATGTTTTCATTTTTATATCCCTTTTATTGAGACTCTTACTAAATTAAATTCAGAGGCGTAATAATTCATTTTGCCATTCGAAATAACTACAATATTCGCTACCCCCCTTACCCTTAATTTGTGGAAATAATATATTTAAATAACTGAATTCCAGACTAAGTAAAAATATGTTAATTTTATTAACAGGCATTGATTTCTTTTAAATAAATGCTTGTTAATAAAAAATTTTAAGACAAATAAAAAGAACAGCTCTTTAATGTACTATATATCATACAGTACTTTGAAGAATCAGGGGAAGTTTTAGCTTCCTTCTTTAATGTAATATGTATTTCTTTTAAATAAGTGGTAAATTTTAAAATATATAATCTATATAACTTCATTGAAAACATACTTTGTACTACTATTGATGTATAGCTAAAGCAATGTCTCATTGCCTTTCTTTATATTAAATTACATTAATTTTTTGTATAAATTTTACAACTTCTGATATTTTTTATTAAGGGAAATTGTTTCTTAATAAAAAAAATCAGTATTCATTTAAAACAAGAATTAAACTCAGTGGTGCAACAGCCCATGGCGGGCCAAGGCCTACTGTGTCCATTTCAATTTTGGTGACCTTTGGCACTAAGGTGCATTAGCAGATGTCCTGATCAGGAACAGGCCGATCAAAACTCTTATTTAACTTAAATTAACTTACAATGGGCATTTCTGATTTACACATTTTAATCCACTTCAATACTGAAAAAAAGTTTTCATATTTGCTTACTCATGTTCATCGATCAGAATTTAAATAAATTACAGAACAATGGTTAGAATAAATGATAACCCAAAACGGTTTCAATTTCCGAGACGTATAATGCTATCAGTAATCGATATGTGCCCTTTAAAGGCCGTTAAATTTTGATTAGTAATGTTTTCATTTACCTTTACTCTCTTTATTTCCAATTACACCATGCAGCACTTTTCTAGTATTAATGACAAAAATTTGATTCGACTGCGAAAAATTCCTTTCTGGAAGCATGCTCGATTAAAATGATGAAAGATAGGGTAAAATTCGTTGCTCTTTTACCACAAGCTTTAACTGATAAAAAAATAAAACGCTATTTTCATTATATGTATTCTGAAATAGATACTGGACCAGGACATAAAATTAACTGGATTATATGCATCTAATTCTGTGTAGCATATCGAATTGAAAAGAATGAAGCTTTCAAAGGTTATTAAATGAATATGACAATTCTGCGGAAGGCTCTGATATATTTCCTGAATCCTTAATTCCATTGGTCATTTAGATGATTATATCGTTTATATTTTTATGTTATTTTAATAATTCAGTTCATCTTTTTAGATATTTTGGTTTATTAGACACACAAATAAGACATGTTTACAGCACAAAGAGCATCACTTAACTGATTCTGCAAGCTCAAATAACTTGCAACGCCATCTATTCATTTTACATTTAATTTGCAACAGGGACATCATTATGCTTTTCAACCATAGTACCGTGGCTCTTTTGTGTGTCCCCAAATTCTTGAAGTGTACCGCCATATTTTTTTTTAAATTGTTAATTATACTCTGAGAAAAAAATAAATCCAAACCGGAATCATTCGGCCGTTTTACAGAAGTAAGCTAAGAGTATTCATGGTATACTTGACTTATTCTTTCGTAGACTGATGGATATAAAAAACATTTCATTTGCGTTAATCCATTCGTGGGTAACGGATACATCGGTATATTAATTAACTTTGAATAAAGAAGAAAAACTAAATTCGCTCTGTCATTATCGAAATTTAATTTCAAAACATTCGAAAGAGTCAAATTAATTCATTTTGGATTAAAATTAGAGGCGATTATGTCATAATAGAGAAAAAAGCTTTTAAAATATTGTTACAATTTTCTGCATCTTATTTGCGTGGATTCGAATTTTCAGCGTTAAAAGTATAAAAATGAACAAAAGTAATATTAAAAGAATTAAATCAATTCCTACTTAGGTCAACAATGAAAAATTTTATGTTAGTTACTTTTTATTAAATAGTTACAATTAATATAAATATGTATATACGTATGACCGAAACACAATATTAAGTGACAAAATAGAAAGTGACATTCCTTACAATTTTCCATTTTCCTTTCTACATAGGGTGTTGACTACTTTTTGTTTGTTTGTTATTTATTCATTAGTAAAATTTAAGTATTCTAATAAAATAATAAAGTAAAAAAGAATACACATTCTCAGAAATTAGGTCATCCTCGGAGGGATTCGAACCCACGCCCCTTGGATTAGAAGTCCAACGCGCTATCCATTGCGCTACAGAGACACAATGAACGATTGATTCTCCTTTCTATATGTGTTGTCGGATTATTATTTTGGTTTTTTTACTATTTATTCATTTTTTAAATTTAATTAATAAATTAATATTTGAAAAACTGTATTAACATCAAGAGTCGTCCACTACAAGTTTAATAAAATGTATTTGAACTTGTATGGATAAGTAGGAAGTATTTCCTTACCGATTGAAAAGTTGAACAAGATTATATATATATATATATATATATATATATATATATATATATATATATATATATATATATATATATATATATGGGGGAAAAGAGTGAACTATAATATATAGTAGGAATTGAAAAAATACTGAGAGTCTTTTAAATGTAGATGAGACGAGAAATGAAAGTAGCACTACTGCCATTTTTACGATCCAATATAAACGAAATTATCAAGAAACATTAAGCTCAAATTTCGCATTAAATGTATTCTTATAATTAATTTGCAATCAATTAATCAATAAGCATTTGTTGTGTCCAAAAGTCTTGTGGGTTGAATCACGAGTGCAGGGGACTGGAGAATAGTTCCCTCCCGTTCAGTTCCATGCCTAAATTGTGGTGGTGAAGATAGGTGGTGTCGCCATCTATCGTCCCTTCGGGAATTTCCCCGAGCTAATTCGTACTGTCACCTCTATGGTGCTCAAGACCAAGGCCAACGACAAGCGTTCTTCTAGACCCTTGCCACGATGAATTTCGTGGGCCACGATCTGACTACGTCAGACAGGTGGCATTAGCCACAACAACAACAACAGCATTTTGTTGACTTCATCATACATGTTATTTTATTTATCATTAAAAATGATTAGCATTAACTATTTTACACAGTGTATTACAGATAAGTAAATTTCTTTTTAAACTTTTTTTTATTGTTAGTGTACCGCCAAAATTAGAAATTGTTAAAAATGTACCGAAACAAAAAAAATAGGTCTGTGCTAGTAAAATGAAAATAATACTATACATTACATGATTCCATAGATTTCAAAGGAAATTTATTTCTATTACATCATGTTCCGAAGTCAATATTTTTTTTATTATTATTTATTAGTAGACGTTACCCACCGGAATTTTCATGATGATGTATGAGTATGTATTGTTTATAAGCTTTTTTGATATCTAAGTTCTCGCCTTCAGCTTTCAGTTGTATAGAAAAACGTACTTATAGCTCTCACACCTCTTGGTTTTGAAAGGACATGACTTGAATTTATTAAACTATTTGATTTAAAATTCTCTTTAACACAGCCCTCCTGCCAGAGTTAATATCCGCAAAATCCATTTTTAGCATGTCTTTACTCAACTAAATAAACATGCTTGCCAAATTTCAAGTTTGTATGTCTGATAGTTCATATAAACGTGAATTTTTATCTATAGCTCCCCTCAAACACCTTTGGTAGTGAAATTCCGTAAAACCCGTTCTGGGCAGATTTTTACTTGGCAAAAGTAACGTGCTTAACAAATTTCACACAAGTATCTAGGTCTCATAATTCCGGAGATCTCAAAACGAATGAGTGAATCACTTCTCTGATTGTTTCTTAAAGTATCTATAGAGATAGAGAGATAATATTTTTTTTTTGAATTTTCACTCCTTTTAATAAAACGAAGAAAGGTTAATTTTTTTTTATTTTAATGATGTACCTCAATCTGAAAAGAATCTACAAATAGTCACAAGAATTTAAAGGAAATTTCTACACTCACACACATATTTCAGTTCTTAAATATTACAAAATTAGAGTTGCAATCTGAAATCTATCTTGAAAAACATGCAATGAAAATCGCTTTTAACCCGAAATCGAGGGGAGTGAAATATTTTTTTGTGTTAAAAGAACTTTGTATTGAAGGGGAAAATATATATATATATTCGACAAAATTAAGTTAGAGTACATTTTATTTACATAGATATACATATAGGCATATGTTTAATAAGCACCAATGAAACAAAAACATTCAGGAGAGCTTAATAAAATTTAATACAAAAAAAAAATTTCAAGTGTTTTGAAAAACAAAATGCTTATTGAATTTTTTGGAAAATAATCTGATATTTGTCTTTGCATTGTCTTTCTTAGCAACAAATTGTCAACAAATTCGATGCCGTCCCTTTTGCTACTCATTTCACTATTGGAATGTGCATTTAAATAAATGCGCATACTTTTCATGGTGGTACTCATTTCGGGTGATGTGGGAAAAGGAGTTGCATCATTCATTTCATTTAGAGATAGAGGGTGATGCACAAATTTAGCTCGTGTCATGGGCTATTCCGAGAACATTTCAAAGGCAATTTAGACTCATTTTTACGAAACATGTGAAAATATCTCGCTTTCATTCCACACTCTTCTTAAATCTCGCCTACATGGTTTCCCATTTTTTTTTGTGCATTCCCAGAAAACAAATCTTTTCGTGTCAAACAAGTTTTGCTTCGTGTTGAGAGAAAAAAGTAATAGAAAAAAAATTTAAGTCAACTCCTAAGGTCAACAAAGAAAATTTTTGTTTTAGTTACTTTTTATTAAATAGTTACAACTAATGTAAATATGTAGATACATATGACAGAATCACAATATTAAGTTGCAAAATAGATAGCGATTTTCCTTACAATTTTCCATTTTCCTTTTTATATATAGCGCTGAACTATTTTTGCTCGTTTGTTACTATTTATTCATTTATTAAATTTACTCATTCCAATAAAATAGTATGGTAAAAAAGAATAACATTCTCAGAAATTAATTCCGGTAAAATAGTATGGTAAAAAGAAATCACACACTCTCAGAAATTAGGCCATCCCAAGTGGTATTCGAACCCACGACCTTTGGATTAGAGTACAACGCACTATTCATTTAACTACAGGGATAAAACGAGCGATTTTTTCCCTTTTATGTATGGTGCTGTACTATTATTTTTGTTTGTTACTATTTATTCATTTTTTAAATTTAATTAATGAATTAATATTTGAAAAAACTGTAGTGTAACATCAAGTGTCATCTCTACCATTAGTTCACACTCTCCCAATATATATATATATATATACATGTGTTTTTTTCCAGGTATAGAAGTTTAAGTTGGCATTACTTTCCAAGATGACGACTGATTTAACAGCTGTCAAGTGATTTATTCTCAGTTTGGTTTGGCAATTCATCATGAATAGATTCACGCCTGAACAACGCTTTCAAATTGTGCAATTTTATTTCGAAAATAATGGTTGTGTGTGTGTGTGTGTGTGTGTGTGTGTGTGTGTGTGTGTGTGTGTGTGTGTGTGTGTGTGTGTGTGTGTGTGTGTGTGTGTGTGTGTGTGTGTGTGTGTGTGTGTGTGTGTGTGTGTGTGTGTGTGTGTGTGTGTGTGTGTGTGTGTGTGTGTGTGTGTGTGTGTGTGATTTTTGTAAGCGAGTTTTGCTTAGCGATGAAGCGCACTTTGATTGAATGGCTACGTCAACAAACAAAACTGCCGCATTTGGAGTGAAGCTAATCCACAAGTGTATGTCGAAACACCGTTACATCCAGAAAAACTGACTGTTTCGTGCGCTTTATGGGCTAGTGGAATCCTTCTTCAATAACGATAAAGGCCACAACGTTACAGTCAATGGTGATCGGTATAGAGCCATGATTACTAACTTTTTCATTCCTGAATTGAACAATCATGATGTCCAGGAGCTGTGGTTCTAACAAGACGGCGCAACATGTCACACAGCTCATGCCACAATCGATTTATTGAAAGACACGTTGGGTGACCACCTAATTTCACGTTTTGGACCTGTGAATTGGCCTCCAAGATCGTGTGATTTAACACCGCTAGACTATTTTCTGTGGGGCTATGTAAAGTCATTGGTCTATGCGGATAAGCCACAAACGCTTGACCATTTGGAAGACAACATTCGCCGTGTTATTGCCGATATGCGGCCACAAATGTTGGGAAAGGTTATCAAAAATTGGACGTCCAGATTGGACTACATCCGAGCCAACCGTGGCAGTCCTATGCCAGAAATCATATTTAAAATGTAATGCCACAAGATTATCTTTCGAATAAAAAGAATTCATGTCAATCGAATAATACATCGCTGTTTTATTGCAATTTAAAGTTCTATACCTCTCAAAAAAACACCCTTTATATATATATTGGGAGAGTGTGAACTAATAGTAGGAATTGAAAAAAATGTGCATGCAGATACATAGTAGTTTTTCGAAACCGTTGTATTATTTCGAGTTAACCGATGTTTCGCTTTAAGCGTTTTCGCATTAAATTTTTTTCACTTTACGTTATAGGCTAAAATTAAATTCATTCAAACGCTTAGAAATCGTAGCATTCAGTTTTCAATAGTATTCAAAAACATTTTTATAGCCTCCTCTCTTGATTTAAAAAGGACAAGACATGAATTTCAAAAACGGGTTTTTGAAATTCATTTTATTTTTTTATGCTCCGTAACGGGTCGATTTTAGCAAAATCCATTTTTAAGCGCTATTTAATTATGAATTTAATTAAAAATTTAAATCAACGTCTCCCGGTATTTTTTTTGTTAGTAGTGTATGTAAATATATTTAACTGTCCCGTTGCTTAATTTGATTTATTTTATCTGCTTACCTGAATAGATTGGCATTCAAATATCTGGCAACAGTTTTTTCTGCCTACAATGGCTACGTATGCTATTCGAATTTCAGTCTGTACATAGATAAACTGAAATGCAATGATTGCTTTTGTGGAACTAATATCTTGTATTCTGCTTAATTGGAAGATATCATTCTCAACATTTTGCTGTAATAGCTGTATTTTTCAGTGTTTTTGTGTTTGCTTAGGAGATCTTTGTAATTATTTGACCGTTACTTAACCATGGTTCAAATTTACGAGATCCATCACCAATAACATTCGTGCAGCTTTATAGTTAATATAACTCCCTAAGTATACTTTTACATATGGTGGCACAATTATATGTGAAACACACACACACAAGTAATATAAAAAAAATTTAAGTCAATTCCTACTTAGATCAAAAAAGAAAAT